CTAAGAGGCCCCGAGTGAGGTTTTTACAGCCCTTTTATAGACAGCTACAAACAAGTCATGGGGAAATCAGGATTTTTCACAGTTACAGAGCTGCCGTTGGTTGATATTTACATTTGAACAGTTAGCAGCATTCGATTGGTTCCCGCCTTTAGGTCAAACCACAACTGGGAGGTAGGGGTATCTCAATGATTGGTGAGGAGTGCGCGGGCGCGCCAAGCAGTTGTACAGAAGCGGAACAAGCTGCTTAAGTTTCAGTTTGCTTAGGCCTCTCAAGGTCCCGTCCACAGGTTCTGGGGGGCCGTGCCTTGCGGCCGTACCCTGTCTCTCTCGGGGGGGCGGGGGCTACGACAGGTACCACAGCTGGGGGCCGTGGTCTCGGGGTCCTGCACACCTGTCGCCTGACAGACGGGCGGGGCGGGGCTGCGTTCCCTCCGGAGGCCGCAGGGACCGTGTCCCAGCTCCCGGGGGCTCCTTGGCGCGCGGCCGCAGCCCCCCGGTATCCACGCGGCCCCCCAACCCCCGCCGCGTCTGCGCGCGCCTGCTCCCACGACGGTCGGCTGGGGCGAGAGTCCTGGCGCGCGAACTTGGGGAGCGCCCCGCCCACCGGGCATGGCCTTCCGTTCTCGGAAACCGCAGGCGCCCGGCAGCTACTTCGTGCTCCCCAATCCCGGAAACTACGCGGTGAGGCTGAGGGCGCACGCGCGCTTCCGCCAAACCTGGAGCGACTGGAGCGCCGTCCGGCGCTTTGGTGAGTGGGGCGCCCTCTCACGACTCCCTGGCGGGCGCTCAACGCGGGGGGCGCCGCCCCGGGTCAGGGACGCACGGACCCTGGCGGGAGGCGTGCGCCAACAGGCCCCTGAAGAGGCGGCCTGGGAAGGCGAAGGGTGGGAGGAACCAGAGGGCGGGCGGACCCCCACCCCCAGCCCCCACCCCCGGGCTGGTGAGAGCAGAGCGTCCAGGGCAGAGGGGTCCTTCCCTTTTATCCCACACGTCAGGGCAGGGCCCAGGGCCTGAGCACAAGGCTGTCATCAAAGTAAGAGCGGCCACTTCTCCCTCAGCACGTTTGGAAACACACCCTCCCCTCCGGCTGCCCCCAAAACATCCCATTTCAGGGGTAACACGCAGGGAACCCCGGTCACTAGGGTCCTGGGGTTCCTGCTATAAATGACCGCACATGGCTGGGGAGGGGCTGGAAACAACAGAAATCTGTCCTTTCCCACCTCTGGAGATGGGAGGAAGTCTGAGATCCAGGCAGGCAGGGCCGCTGAGATCCAGGCAGGAGAGGATTACTGAGATGGGGGGGGGGGGGGGGGGGGGGG